CTAATATGCTGATTTGGTGCTCAAGAAAATCTATTATTATTATCAATGTTAAAAAACGTGATTTTGTTTCCACAGTATTCTTTGTTGAATAGAAGAAATTATTATTTTTTTTAAACAGCAGTTTACTGTCTTTCTTTAGTCATTTTTTATCAATTTAATCCATCACTGCTGAATAAAATGTTCAATTTCTTTAAAAAAAAAAAATTCCAAAACGAATATTCATTTTATACTGAACATTATAGTTTTATTTTTTTTCCAAATAAAAAAATAATTATAGAATATTGGTGCATCCCTAGTTTATGCATATTGGTAAGCACCTGTTTCATGAATATGTATTGCATAACGTTTGCCTACTTCAGAAATGAATCAAATTGGCATTACACATGAACACTTGTTTAGGGTTGCATTTTTGTTTATTTGAGCGGAAGTGAGTTAGCAAACAGTCAACTTGAAGCACCTACTTCTTGTCAGAGAGGAGACTCATGTGCATTCCGTTGTTGAAAAGGACGCCCACTGTGTTGTCAGACAACTGATAGCCAAAGCCATATTTGTTGGAGTAGTCCACCCACTTAGTCACCCACTTCAAACTATTACAACCATTTCCTCTGGGAAGGCTATCCGCTGTGGGGGGAAAAAAAGTACTTTTAGATGCAAAGATCACACATTTTCTTTACTCTACAGAATGGATTTGGTATAGAAAACCCTGAGTGTTAAGTGTGAAGTGTAATATGTCTTATTCACCTTTAGGCATGTGTTCAAGACAGCCTCTCAGAACACTAATAACAGCCTCTGCCACAGTGCCGGTGGTGGTGTCTTCAAGACCTACAGAGAGACAGCGGGATACATTGCATCAGCTTGCGATACTAATGAGCTGAAATCAGACCAAACAGGTGAAACACACACACAGACAGACACACACAGACAGACACACATAGACAGACACACATAGACAGACACACATAGACAGACACACACACACACACAGACACACACATGCGTATAACACATGCTTACATTCACTGCTGCTGCTGCAGCTGCCCAAGCTGCCTCTAACAATCAAGTGAATGGTATCTCTTGTCTGCAGCCTTCCGGCAGTTGCCTGGGTAACAAGCTTTCTTGTAGGTGCTGACGGATTTCCTCCTTCCTAAACAGGAGAAATCGCAGCATATGTTTGTCATGAATGACTGAACACTTAACCTCCATTAATATCTCTATCTAGTGATGAATTCCTTATTATAGTCTGCTATAAAGGGAACAAGCTCACCTCGGATAAGACGTGTGTAGTAATCTGATGACTGATGGCAGTCTTTCTGAAGTCTTGACGGAGCTTGAATATGTCTTCCTCTTCTTTGGCCAAGCGATCTGTCAGAAGATAAACCGTTACTACCGTTACATCTGAAATGAAGGATGCTATAGTTACATAAAGCGAGCACTTACTTATATTTTCATAGTACTTGGCTTTGTCCTTCTTGCCGCCGAAAAGAGCCGCCGCTGCCTTTTTGAAGAAGCTCTTGGCAGGACTGGAAATGTGGAAGTCTGGGGCAGAATGGCAGCAGCTGACAGGTAGAGTTTCTGGCATGAAGCCCTACGGCGAAATCACGACAAAAACATTGACCAAAAATCCAACCACTTGGCCGGATATACTGAAACTTGCGCTGTGACAAATAAACTTACCTGGGTGAAAAATTCATTCTGAATGATGCCGTCCAGGTGCGGGCGGTCCACAGGGTTCTGTGCGAGCATGCCGGAAATGAGCTGTTTGGCAGGGAGAGAGAGGGAGGCCGGGAGGGTGTACCGGGCCTCTCGGATACAGCGGTACGTCTCCTTCAGGTTCGTGGTCTCGAATGGAGGTTTTCCCAGGAGCATGGTGTACCTGAAAAGGAAAATGAACGTAAGATTAATAAGGGTTTGGCTCTTAAGATAATAGTTCAGTCAATATTTACTCAACGCCATGTCATTTTTCATGTCAATAGGTTTTGAACTATTTTTTGATAATATTAGGGCTGTTCTTTTTAATATAATTAACTGAATAAGGACTGGGGCTATCAAGCTTCAAAAATAATGAAAAAGCACCATAAAAGTATCATAAAGGAAGTCCTCTTTAGTCATATGATAGCTAGTCTGACAGACAGAAGTTGTTATTCACTTATTTAACAGTAAATAACAATATAAAACACAACTTAAATCTTCAAAAGACTTTAAATATTGCGCAAGACCCCTTTTATGGTGCTATTTTAGAGCTTGACAGCCTCAGTTTTCATCTTTTGTGTTCACCGGATGACAGAAAGTACTTCAGGTTTGGAACGACACGAGGTTGAGTAAATTATGCTAGAACAGCTCGACACTGGAGACAAACTGTGCTACATGTGCTGCTATTATGATATTCAATCACTAAGCTAAAGCATGATCACCAAATACGATCCTGAACAAAAGTAGACATTCATTCATAGAGTGACTCTGAATCGGCAATCAATGCCTATTAGTACTGAGCAGTTTCTAAATATATTGCATAGAGGAAACCCTCGGATCTGATGGTGACAAACTCACATGACGCAGCCCAGAGCCCACACGTCAGACTCCCAGCCGTGTCCCTGTTTGTTCAGCACTTCCGGGGACAGGTAATTGGGTGTACCGCAGATCGTTTTGCGTCTGTTGCTGACTGGCTCTAGTTTGGCAGCCAGCCCAAAATCTCCCACTTTCAGATCCATTGAGTCACTCACAAACAGGTTGCCTAGAAGGATAAAACATAAAAAAATGTAACTACTTATGAACTGATGGAATGTTAATATACATCATGCGAGTGCGTGAATGCATGCATACCTAGTTTCAGGTCACGATGCAGGATCTCTAAATCGTGAAGGTATTTTAAAGCAGACACTGTCTGTTTCAGGTAATACCTTACTTCAGGTTCTGTTAGGACTTTTCGTGCCTTCATTATATGGGCTAATGACTAAAAAAAAGAATACCAAGAGTCAGTTAGGGATGACAGTCATTTGCATTATATATTATGATAGAATTCCTCACTTTAAAACACATTTAAAAAAAAAGATACTTACTCTTCTACTGCAGTACTCCAATAGAATATATATGTTGTCTTTGTCTTCAAAGTGGTGGTAGAAGTGCACTATGTGTTTGTGGCTGAGAGATCTGTGCAGGTCAATCTCTCGGTTTATCTGGATTAACAGAATATAAAACATCAGTAAGAGGTCTCGATCAATCACTCATGCAATCGTACATGTGCCATGTGTCTGTCCTATACCTTCTCTCTCTGGTGCGGTTTTGACACACGCGTATGCGGGATGATTTTGGCTGCATAGACTTTACTTGAAGACAGGTCGGTCATTTCATAGCACTTTGCAAAGCCTCCCTATGGCATATAGAAAGTATAAGATAAGTATAAAGTTATCAACTACAAGAAAAAGAGATTTTCAAGAAGAAGCAATCCAATCATAAGCAGTGCACAGATAGATAGATAGATAGATAGATAGATAGATAGATAGATAGATAGATAGATAGATAGATAGATAGATAGATAGATAGATAGATAGATAGATAGATAATTATACAAAACCAATGCAAACATGCACAAATACAATGAATGATGTTTTTCACATAAAATAATACAATACTTTTATATAAATAATAAATATCATATTTTTAAATAATATCAGGATTATTATTGCGGCCATTACCTTTCCCAGAACTTTTCCCCGGCAGTAACATTTCCCAGTATTGGGGTCTGTAATGATTCTGGTATACTCTGTGCCCGTCCGACTGTTGTCCTCTGGCTTTTTCCTTCCTTGCTCACTTATATTATTGAGCTCACACATATTTTCGTTGTGTGCCGTTATAGTTGGGTAAGAGGTATTCCTTAGTGTCTCCATAACTCTGTAACTGTGTGTACTGTCTGTCACAGTGCTGCTATACCGGCGTGTCTCCTCGCTTTTATACATCAGCACCCGGCGCGCGCCTCTCCTCTAGACGAACTACGTCACTAGAGGGGAAGACCCTATATGGCGCGTGAGGTCTGGTGTACAGTCATCTGTGAACTACCTCACTCTATCCATTATTAAACATCCTAGACACTTCAGAGACACCTACTACACAAAGATTATAGGAGAGAAGCAGGTATATCTGTGCAATGGTTCATATAGTCACGCTGCAATCTCTCACAGGCACTAAAAAATTGTCCTACAGATCTTGTTTTTCGGTAAAATGTATGCTATTTATAGCCTACATAATACAAATTAGCATCGGCGAGATATTGGCAAAATATTGATATTCAATAAATTAACCATCGTAAATTCATTTGTACGTTTGAAAGAACTGAGTGTGTCATAGAGTGTCAGAGCATCACCATGTGGTCAAAGTGACATACAACATCTGGCATGTTCCATTAAAATTAAAAAGCATTATACGTACAAATTCCATGTTGTGAGAAATATTTATGTTAGATACACTATTACCTAACATAAAATTAACAGTATTAAACATATCAAATATTAGTATGTCCTCTTTAAATTGGGATTTTGACCTGTCCAACATCAGAGGTCTTGACCTTCTTGACTGTATTTAGTCATTAAAATCATGCACAAATGTTTTCATTTTAACATACCTTTTTTATTTACATTAAGATCAAAGTAGTTTTAAGCACTTTTAGCTTTTCATTTTAATTCTCAAAACGTAATATTTAGCTGGGTCCCACATTTTGAGTGCAACCTGTTACTGCATTATTTTTATTCATTAAAAAAAAAAGTCAAAAGTGACACCCAAAAATTAACATTATTTGCACCCTTTCTACAGCATGATAGGAATACAAGAAAAAAACATCATTGCATTTCCCTAATTTGTATAAAAAAACTGAGTGTCGACTGCATTCATTAGGCTCAATTATAAAATATATATATATTTTTTTTTTAAATGAATGAAACAAGTATTTTTCTTAATTTGTGGGAACTATAATGTAAGACTGAACTACATTTGATAGAGAAACAAAAACCTCAAACCTTTTTTAGATTTGCTGTTCTAGGAGATATTAAAAGACCAAGATTATAGGAGCAGTCTGTTGGCATTAAGGCAATGTTGGCTCTTTATTTCACAGTTTAGTTTAAAATTTTACAACACACACAAACCATTGGACATCAAACCCACCTGTGGGAACAGAACAGGAGGAAAAAAATGTTGTGTTCAATATAAAAACAAGTAATTATTATATGCTTTATACTTTGCATGTCTTCTAAAGTGACAGGTAACTTTCAGATGGCGCTCAAACACAAAACAAATATTTTTGACACAAGGAAAGGTGCTTTTTCTCCTCATCTCATGATAGTGTGTGTTGAAAGCTTCCGTATGGCATTCATATCATATGCCCAGGCCTGGTCTAGTCCGTCACCCTCAGTGGCTGTAGGAGTCCAGTCGGGAAATGGGAAGCGACAGGCAATCACACGTGCCTCATCTGGTAACTCCTTCTCCAGTTTCCTACCCAACACCTCCATCTGTAGACAACAAAGCACATTGTATTGACCGAGGCTATTATTGGCAAGTCAAACAGTTGATTTTGTTGCATTAGTGTATTCCATTGAGAAGTGGGACTGTTCATCCCCATCTGTCTCACACATCATGCTTTTAAAAAATGACTCAAAAAAGCTCCATGGTAACCTAAGCTTAAATTCTTCTCCAACAAAGATGTGTAGAATATGTATGTCTCTTTGTACTAATTTTTAAAAAGATACTGTACCATCTTTTCTATTTTTAAAACAGTCCTCAAATTGTCTTTTTATCAGCTCAGTACAAATGGAGCAAGGACATCTGCGCATACATACCACTCCGGGTGCCAAGAAAACAGTCATATTGTTATATTTGGACAAATTGGTCTGTGAAAGGAAATGGTAAAATTGAATCATCAACACTTGGACAAGCGAAATCAAATCTGAAATAAAATATGCACACGATATGTGTAATTTTTCAAGCAGTTCAACCAGCAGTTAGACAAGAAGTAATTCATCTCACTTTTCTGCTTCAAATTAGACCAATCTACCTTTCTATGTAACTGACTTGAAATAGCTAGGCTCAGTCCTGAAAAAAAAAGATGACTAACTTTTAAGACTAGTCTAAGCAGTTTATGCAATGTATCACTGCTCTGAAGTTCCTTGAGGAACTACGCTTTCCGATAAAATTCTGATCTTGTTTTCCCCCTTTAGGTTGATTTGTAAAAACTTTTTTTAACAATGTTGTCACTGTGTTTGCTTGAGCATCGCAAAACAGCCACACTTACTCAACCAATGGCATGAGTTAAGAGCAGGACTAATTCTTTGAATGGCCAATGGAAGACCAGTTGAAATAGCACAGGAATAATATACTTTACTTTTAACAACATCTTACCTCCCAAAAGTCCTGGTTTATGAAACTGGCAGTGCTGGATGGTATTCCCTTCCACTTTGCTTTGACTCTGGCATATCCAAATAGGATAGAATTGATTTCAAAGCCAGTGCACTGGAAACCCTCTACAGTGGCAGCAAATACCTACAAAACACACCCAGGCCAAACCTACACTTTGAGAACCAGGTTCAGGGATATTTATGTCAGTTACAGTCAGACATAAACCAGACTGCCAGTGGCTCATATTGTTTGCTCTCCGTGTATTTAAAAAAAAACACACAGGAATAGTCAAATGCAAGACCAATAATTCTTGAAAATATAAATATAATAGGAGAAAAATATTTTTGTGAGCCACATAGAGTGTTAATGGGATCTATTTTTGGAACACAAAAGAGGCAGCTCCAGGTAGGCTGCCCAGTGGCCATTATCATGGTGTTAAATCACCATAAAAATAGCCCATAGATTAGTCATTTCAGTTCAGAAAGCCAAGCCCCTTGAGCAACATCTAACAGAAAAGTTATAAATAGCCTGTTTTCAAATTTTTTTATATATATTTTGCTCCATTTTCCATATTTTCTCTCCCACCCAGTTGCTAAGCATCTCACCAGAAAGTAGTCATCTGCAGAAAGCCATCAGAAGCATCTGAAACAGAAAGTGCTTACAGTAGAAGCAAAAAAACTTCATCTGTAAGTCTCATATAGCACTTGGAGATTCACTTCATTTGCATTAGCATGTTAAATGCTTTATTCATTATTGGGATTTAAATGTCCAAGCTATGGAAGACGAATATTCATGCATTGTTATTATGCAAAGTGATTGGTGTTAAGCACAATATATAACATATATCATTCATTATCATGCCAGTGTTAAAGACTCACCAGTCGCCCATCACCTGATCCCAGATCTGCCAGACATCCTGCTCTCCCATGCAGGAGTTTCATTACATTTTGGGTCTGTGTTCTGCTGGAAGGCAAATAAGGCACCTGGACAATATTCATTTCACTTACATAAGTGTTTAATTGACTGATTTTCCCTCTCTTCTCTCCAATCTAAACAACAACTCTCAGGCTCATGGTAAAGAGCAGATTGTAGCCATCTAAAAAGATATCACCCAGGGTACTGAACGAATACAGTGCTATTGGCAGCTCTTTATTGTGTATAACAGAGCAGATGCTATATATAGCTGCCAATATATGGTATATTACTTGCAGTACCTTAAGACATGTGGGAACTTTCCGAAATCCAGGAAATGCAAATAATGTCCAGAGCCCATAAACCCCCATGAGCAAAGCTCAGATGCTGCTGTGAAAAGTGACTTTTCTTGAGTATGTTGGGAGAGCTTGCAACTTTTATGCAGAAGGATGACTTCTACTGAATCCTCCATGATGGGACACTAGTGGGAAAAGCAAACAAATATAATATGCACGACTCAATATAAAAATGAATGTGATCAATGCTGACATGCAAGTCGAAAGTCACATTTTTTATGACACTTTCTTCTCCACATTGTTCAGTAAATATAGTCAAAATGAAGTACTGGTGGAGTTCTTAGAAACCCATTGTTTTTAATAGAAACAACGCCTAAACACTTTATTTACCACAAGAATTTATTATATAGCAGACTATGTAACCTTAAGTAATATAAAGGCGTGTTACAACCTGACCGCGTATGTTTCTATTTACTTTAGCTGTTGACAAAAGCCCGAATGTGTTTTCTTCAAATTTCTTGGACAAACAACCAACCCCAACACAATCAGTTTACCAAAAACAAATTTAACGACAACATATTAGACAATTAAAAGTAAAGGTTTACCTCAACATGTCAATGTATATTGCGTGTTTTAGTACGAGGACTACGTGACATTGATTCATGTAAACAACACAGGCGCATGTGAGAGTGGGATGGGCACTAGTTCTACTATGGAGAAGGCCAAGCTCATTAATATTAATTATATCATGCTGCCGTCCAATGGCGAGGGCTTATCCTATGAATATTAGATACAAGCTTCAAAATTGAATTGAGTGCATTTTTAATATTAGTTAAATAAATCAACATTAAATTTAATCAGAAGTTACCTAGTGATTGTCTTTTGATTTTTTTTCTTTTTGAGTGTTTTGTTTATAATATTTATCAGATAATTTATTATATCGTCCTGGAATCCAGGATAAACTTTTGTCCTCTGTATGAGACATTTTATTTCAGTGAATTTTTCTGACACCATACATGTCAGTTATAAGTCCTGTAAAGAACACATTCGGGGCTTTTTAAAGATACCAAATGTTTGGAGGGTTCACCATGACTTTTCCTTGTTCTTTAAAAATGAATTTACCACTCTTATGGAAATATTATATTTTGTAATTATCATTTAAATCTTTTAAAATGGTTTATCATACATCAATATCTCAGGAAAATGTTATGGTGTTTCTAATAAAAATATGAATTTCTGTAACAAAACAGGACATTGATTTCATACATGTTCACTGTAGTGGACACCAGGACTTAAAGGGTTAGTTCACCCAAAAATGAAAATTATGTCATTAATGACTCACCCTCATGTCGTTCCAAGCCCGTAAGACCTCCGTTCATCTTCAGAACACAGTTTAAGATATTTTAGATTTAGTCCGAGAGTTTTCTGTCCCTCCGTTGAAAATATATACATGCCACGCACGGTATACTGTCCTTGTCCAGAAAGGTTAGAAAAACATCAAAGTAGTCCATGTGACATCAGTGGGTTAGTTAGAATGTTTTGAAGGATCGAAAATACATTTCAGTCCAAAATTAACAAAAACTACGACTTTATTCAGCATTGTATTCTCTTCCGGTTCTGTTGTCGAGCCGCGTTCAGTGATGCTGATGACGTAAGACGCTGCTGAAGAAATACATTTTATATCAATATTCCTAAGAAATATTAGATATTAAAATGTTGCCAATTATTACACCCAAGAAAAACATTAATATGCTAGCCTAATTAGATTAGATACATTGTATGGAATGGGACCACCAACATATCGCATAAAGTAAAATTGTATATCATATAATTATATATAACATAGTTGAGAATCATTTTTATACAAAGTTTGCTGGGCAAAAAAATCTGAAACCAAAAAAATTGATTAGTGAATGAAAGAAAAATCCCATTGTTTTTGCATACATGTCATTGGTACAGATCTATGAGGGAGGACTCAAGCGCAGAATGAGTGTTGACAAGACGAGAAATGGTGGGTGAGGAGGTGATGACAGTCCTAACAGAAGGCAGAGAACAAAGCACAATGACAGGCAAGCTGAGAGGGTGGCAGTTGAGACCAGCCCAAGGTGAACACACTGGTGTTCTGAGGTAGACGAGCAGCACAAGGCCAATGGATGCAGCAAGAGCCAGACAAGATAGTACAGCACACGTAGATGGACTCACAGCACAATCAGTCACTGCACAGGTCTCGCTGCTTGGTAGAGAGGAAGCAGCCAGCTTGCAGGGCTGGAACAAACAGGGAACACAACAGACACAAGACAAGGTATCCAGTCACTATTCACAACTGACACCATGAGCAATAAGTAACAGGTAGCACAACACACTAAATGACAATGAACTGGGAAAACATGAGGGCAAGAGAACACAAATAAAGGGAGCTAAGAAAAGAGGAACAGGTGAGCACATTCAGACAAGGAACAGGTGAACACACTCAGGAAAAAGAAGACTCAACAAGTGAGTAGAGAACATGAGGAACAGGTGACAACACTCAGACAAACGGGGACTCACCTAGACAAGAGGGTGTGGTACTGGGAAACAAGGAGGCAGGAACAGAGAAGCACATGCCCAACACAAACCAAGACAGAGCCATATGTTCAAGCACAACACAAACATAGAGACATGAAACAAAGACAACACAGACAAAGCTGCCAGGGCAGAATCCTGACAGTCATTTCATGTCTGTAGTCTTGTGTCCACTACATATGACATAGCATAACATTAATGAAATATTTTCAATTAGTTTCTTATGCTCTAAATAATGTAATGAAATGGAAAAAAAAAACTAAATTCCCCAAAAGCTTTTTTTTTTCTGAGTCTCGGAAGGATATAATGTAGGCTACTAATCTGTTGTGATCTGTGTGTGTGTGTGTTTGAGAGAGAGAGAGAGAGAGAGAGAGAGAGAGAGAGAGAGAGAGAGAGAGAGAGAGAGAGAGAGAGAGAGAGAGAGAGAGAGAGAGAGAGAGAGAGAGAGAGAGAGAGAGAGAGAGAGAGAGCAACACCGCCCCCTGCTGTCAGCAGCCCGCACTCACACTTCAATTGGATGAATGGGTGGAGAGTGTCTGCTGACGTCCATTGCGAGCATCACTGCATCCAACATTTATCCCAACATCCGACTCCACCTCTCCAAAACGGGGAAAAAACTATTATTTATTAGGACTAAATCAGAATCAAGCTCCGTTTATTGTATTGGTTTTATTGTCTTTAACAATGGAGTTGTACGGGAAGGTAAGTGTGCACGGTGTTATATAAATACAATGTTTGGTGACCACTTTGGTCGTAATGGAGAGCTACGCAAAAAGAGAAATAAATGGCTAATTTAGTCATACTGAAAATAAATAAATAAAAAAGATGTAGTTTAAAGAGATTTGCCCTTTGACAGCGAGCATAATAATGACCGGTCATGAAATGTTTAGGCTATTACATTTATGAAACGCAACATCAGTGAAGAGAAAAGCAATCAGCCGTAAAAGCTCATTTATTCCCAGGAGCTGCTAATTCAAACATTCTTGGTTGTTTATATGAAAGCATATTGACAATATGAGTCTCTCATTTACAGCTCAACATTCTCTTTGTCTATGGTCCACAACAAGTATAGTCATTATGAGCATTATGGTGTTTGAAGACTATTAGCCTTTAATATCCAGGGCTTGAAAAGAGACGGAGCCCTTTAAAAACACTAGAATGAGACATACTGTAGGCTGCGTCTCAAAACATAGTGCGCTGCCTACTTCGACAACATTGTGGGGTAGCCTATCATCGGCGCCTTCAGAGTTTGCACGCGCATATATTACACCATTTAATCACATTTGTTTACCAGCTAAGTGAACACATAACGTTTCTAATAACGTAAAGTTATGTTTTATTCCTGGTCACAATTTGAACTGGAGTGTCAAAAGTTGTTTATTTGCTCAATAAGTTGACTCAATAGAAAGGTGTAAACAATAAAGTAACACAATGTAATTATTTTCTTTAATATTACAGTACTTCAAAATCACTTTTATTTTGTGAATCTATCAGTTTTTAATTAAAAACAGACATCGTCTTTGATCATCACATCTGGTCATGTCTCTGTTTCCACCAGCCATGCAAACATGTAAAAAGCAAATCAAGACAGGATGCACATTTATTATAGTTGACAACTCTTGTGCGAAATATATTAACATTTAAACAAAAATACATTTAGGTTAGGTTGAGATTAAATGGGTTAAATGCAAAAATGCTGTAGGACATTCACTAGGTTTAAGACGCAGCCGTGGACAGCTCCTGGTGCTGAAGTTCACAGAACCACTCTTAAAACAAATATATGGAGAGGACTGAGTCTTTAATGAAATAATCATTTATAATTTGTTAACACTTTATTTTACAGTGTCCTTGTTACACGTTGATGTTAGAGATGTTACATGTAGTTACTGCAGTAATAACTATAAATTATGCATAATTACATGCAACCAACCCCAAACCAACCTAACCCTAACCCTCATGTAGCTTATTAATATTACTCAGTACATAAATGTATAATTACACTGTAACACATTCACCTTAAAATAAAGTGTAACCTCTAATTTTTTTTATACTATCATACAACCACATACGACAAATTCTATTTTTAGACTTAACTATTTTAAGAGTTAGGCTGTAAATCTTTGATCTATGACTCACACTGTGGCTTTGTGTTCTCACAGATGGCTGCTACACAAGACAACAAACAAAAGGAGAGCTCTGATCAAAACTTTGATTACATGTTCAAGCTGTTGATCATCGGGAACAGCAGTGTTGGAAAAACATCTTTCCTCTTCCGCTACGCCGACGATACTTTCACATCCGCCTTTGTCAGTACAGTGGGCATCGACTTTAAGGTCAAAACCGTTTATAAGAGCGACAAAAGGATCAAGCTTCAGATCTGGGTAATTTCTGCCTCATTCACGTCATAATGGCCATGATTCAAAAATGACACAGACGTTAAGTCTTTTTTTAACTCGGCGTCAATGTTTCTTGGTTGGTAAAGCACTGAAGAGCTGGATAATCACACATGGAGCAATGTAAACACCACATGGGGTGATGATTAACACTGGCTTATGGAAAGAGAACATAAGCCATTGTCACCTTATCTAGGCCTTTAAGTCAGCATCAGCAAACTGTTCT